ACCAGTTTGCATTCCCACCAGCAGTGCAGGAGAGTTCCTCTTTCTCCACACCCTCGCCAACATTTATTGTTGCTTGTTTTTTTAATATGTGAGATTCTCATTGGTGTGAGATGGTATCTCATTGCGGTTTTGATTTACATTTCCCTTGTTACAAGTGATTCTGAACATTTTTTCATATGCTTGTTGGCTGTCTGTATTTCCTCTTTGGAGAAGTGTCTTTGTAGCTCTTCTGCCTATTTTTTGATGGTGTTGTTCATTTTATATTTGTTGAGTTTCACCAACACAACCCAAATGCTGAAAAATAGATGACTGGATCAAGAAAATGTGGTATATATACACAATGGGATATTACTCAGTAATCAGAAAAGATAAACTCATGCCATTTGTGGCAACATGGATGGAACTGGAAAAAAAAACTCGTGCATAGTGAAATAAACCAGAAAGAAAAAAAAAACAACCTGATGGTTTCACTTATAGCAAGAGTGTAAGGGTGTAAGGGGTCAGGGGAAAATATATATAATATATAATAATAATATATAAAGTAAAAAAGAACATCAACTAAAAGCTGTAAATGAGAGACATTCTGTTGGGGAGCAGAGGGGAACAAGATCAAAATGGGTGGAAGAGCACATGGGTGAAGTGGTGGTGGGAAGTCCACAGGGGTTACAAGTGAGATGAAAAAGCACAAAATGAAAAATAATGTAATTATACATATTTATAAAATAAAAATATGTTTTTTGATGTGTAAAGAGCACAGCATAATAGCATAAATGCTGAAATCAAAAATTCTGAGAACATTTTGAAAAACTGATGATTAATATCCTTTTGTTGTTTTGTGCTTACATAGCAAAAATGGATAAAAGCCACTGCCTCCTTAGTCTTCCATTTAAAGAGCAGATTTATATCTGAAATTGTCTTTTTTGGAAGGCAGTCATGGAATCAAAACATTAACAAGCATTTAAATATCACCACCTTGTGGCCAGAGGATAAAATTTTATATATTAGTATTGTAATAGTTGATATATAGTAATATATAATAAATGTGTATTATAAATTATACAAACTATGTATGTGTGAAGCTTAACACAAAGAGCAGCTCAGAAACCTACTGCCCTACTGCAAAAGCAGGATGTTGAAAGCATCTGCTTGCTTTTTAGTCAGTTTGTCAGCCTCCTATAAGCCATGTTACCTAGAAAAATACTTTCCTGACTTGCATCAGTTATACCCCTGGTAAATTTCACTAGTAGTAGAAAATTTCCTTGGAATTTTCTGTTAAACTTTTGGTGTGCTTACAAATATAGGTGGCCCTCATTCACTTTTACATTGCATCTGCTATAATATTAGTTTAATTTAAAGGCGGGAAGAATGTGGAAGTAGGACAGGCATTTAGTTTGGATACCTTCAGAAATGACATTGTCAGTTTCAGTGAGGTAGACAAAATTGTTAATAACTGGCAAATGTGTCTTGGATGTACAACATCAGTTCAGATCCAGACATTTCTTTTGTAATTAAATAACTTCTGAGTAGACTGCACTGGATAGGTGATCTTACTTACTTTTAATTTTTATTTTGAATATCATGTTCAATAAAAGTGTGTCGAGACAGTAGCATAGTGATGAAAGCAGAACTTAGAAATTAAAAACTTACATAGAGCGTGGTGAGTATCCAGTCGATGCCATCTGTGGTGCTTGTCATTAGTAATGTCGCCGCTGCCGCTGTGGGTGACAGGGAAGGGAGAGGAGGCCCGAGGATGCCAGGAGGGAAAGGGGAGAGCTGGTGCTAGGAGCCTGCTGATGTGCCTTGACTCAGAGAGGCTCCTCAGCTTTGTCATCTTTAACTTTTCTGGGTCTTAATTTTCACATCTATAAATCAGTTTTCTTACAGAGTCATGAGAAGTAACAGTGTGTGTGTGTGTTTATTGTGTGAAATAAAGAGATTGAGGAAGGGCTGTCTATAAACGACGAGTGAAGTGTGGGATGTGCCTGTCTCATAGTTCTAGTGGTAGACGGGCCTTTTCCCTATTAGTTCTGATCACATCTCTTAATTTTAGGATGCTTTGTTCTTCCTGAAAGATTTCTTCACAAGTCTTTCTACAGAAGTAGAGATTCTAATGGCTCCAGATCCAGAAGGTATTACATGTGTTAATGTTGAAAAAGTCTGTAACAAATACTTAGATTGACATTTATTGTTATGAGACTGTCTTTTCATTTATATAGTAAATGTATTTTTTTGTTAAATTACACATAAGCAGTTTCTGTAAATATACTTATTTAGAAGGTAAAAGTCAGTTTTCCCTGTAGAATTATATTTATTAAATGAAATTAGCAAAACAAGTTAAATCTAGATTGATTTAGTGGTTACCCTATAGAAGCACACCTCAGTTTTCTAATGTGCATGTTCTGTTTTCAGTTAAAAAGTCTCCTGGTGCCGATGTCACATGCAGTTTGCCAAGGCATTTAAGTACTTCCAAGGAGCCAAATCTAGTTCTCTCCTACCCTGGGCCAAAACAGCCCCCCCAAGATCCTCGAGTCAGTTCAGTGGACATGACAAATGGGGAGGAGGAAGAGGTCTTCTCAGTGGAAGAAGCATCCTTTAGTGATCAACCTGTGTTTTTTAGGTAAGTTGTTCAATCTTGGTAATGCAATTATCTTAGACTTCTGAAGATTGACCTTGGTGCATTTGTGTAAGTAAGAGGCTATATCGGCTCACCTGGTGTTATTTATGTGGTTTCCCCTCATCTGCACCCTCATTGGCGTGAAGTTGTCCTGGTTCAAGAGTCACCACTCTGCTGATTCCGCGGCAGGTGCTTCCTTTGCCTTCTAAGGTCTTCCTTTTCCTCCTCTTGTCTCTCTTTCCCCAGGCACTTGTTAAGGCCCGTTTTGTACATGAAACAAATTGGTCTTTCTCCTCTTCTCTTTCACACCTCAACTTTGCCATTTCTGCTTTCCCCTTATGGAAGTTTTCTGTCTCACTGCTCTTCCCCACCCCTGTTGACCCTTTGCTCGCTAGCTGAGGCAGCGCCCAGGCCCCCTGCGCTGCCACCGTGTGCTGTGACCATCGCCCCACCACTCGGCTAGCTGGTTGCACTCTGCGCTCATCCCTTGCCCCAGCCCCAGTCATTGTCCCGTCCCCCTTCTTTCCCAACCCTTGGTGGGTGCGCTGGAGCCTTGACTCCATTGGCAAGAGAGCCGAGGGCAGCGCTCTTGTGTCGTGCGGCCAGGAGCTCTCTTCGCTGGTCTCCTGTACGTCCCTCCCGAGGGATATAAGCATCCCGGCTTTTCCCCTTTCCTCTAAGTAGTGGGAAAGGAGAGGTGAGACTCTCGGCATGGCCCAAAGTAGGAAGAAAAGCGTTATAGTTCGATGCCTTGTAGACTGATGAAACAGATAGAAAATGCACTAAGTAGTAAAGAAAAAAAGATGGTACAGAAGAATCAGAAAGGTGCTGAGATGCAGATCTCTGGCTACTCTGAACCTTCCTCCCACTTTATGATTTTTCATTGCAGTCTTAAAGTATTTTTTTCTGCCTAAAATTACAAATGATAATAATTTGGAATATTTGTTTTAAATTTATCACCTATTAATTGCCAATTCTTTTTTTAACAAGTGAAAATATTTTCTTTATTGTTTAATTTTATCCACTTTGACTCAGATATGCAGGCAAAACTATTCAAAATTAAATTGTCCCTTAAAAGCATTTTTTTTGTCTTTGTAGTTTTTTTTTAAATAATGGTTTATTTTACATCATTTTGTGCTTTTTTCCATCTCAGTTGTAATCCCTGTGGGCTTCCCATCACCCAATCACCCATGTGCCATCACCATAGTCCAGTGCACTCTCCCAACCCCTCCATTTTTGATCCCACTCTCCACTCTGCCCCCATAAAACGTCTCTGGTATATAGTTGTTCATTATTATTATTATTTTTTCCTCTGGCTCTTTATACTCCTGCTATTAGTGAAACCATCTGGTATTTTTCCTTTTCTTTCTGGGTTACTTCGGTAAGCATGATCCCTTCTAGCTCCCTCCATGTTGCTGCAAAAGGCATGTGTCTATCCTTTTTGATTGCTGAATAATATTCCATTGTGTATATGTAGCACATCTTTTTTATCAAATCATCTACTTTTGGGCATTTGGGTTGATTACATGTCTTTCCAATTGCAAATAAAGTAGCAATAAACATAGGGGTGGCAGGTGTTTTTTTGAATCAATGTTTTTGTGTCTTTTGGGTAGATACCTAGAAGTGGGATTGCTGGGTCATATGGAAGTTCTATTTTTAGCAGTTTCAGAAACCTCCACACAACTTTCTATAATGGTTGGACCAGTTTGTGTTCCCACCAGCAGTGCAGGGGAATTCCTTTTTCTCCACATCCTTACCAACATTTGTTGTTGCTAGTTAGTTGTTTGAAGATGTGCCATTCTCACTGGTGTGAGGTGGTATCTCATTGTGGTTTTAATTTGCATCTCCATTATTATAAGTGATGTTGAACATTTTTTCATATAGTTGTTGGCCCAGTATATTTCCTCTTTGGAGAAGTGTCTTTTTAGTTCTTCTACACATTTTTTGATGGGATTGTTTATTTTTGTTGAGTTTCATCAGTTCTTTGCATATCTTTATGATCAATCCTTTATCACTAGTTTTGTGTGAGAAATTTTTTTCCCAATTAGTGGGCTGTCTGTTTGCTTTATGTAATGTTTCTTTTGCTGTACAGAAGCTTTTTAACTTGATGTAGTCCCATCTGTTTATCCTTTCCTTCACTATTGTTGCATTGGGTGCTGTATCTTCAAAGATGTTACTGAGGTGTATGTTGTGTCGTATTTTGCCCATCTTTGCTTCCAGGTATTTTATGGTTTCTGTTCTTATGGCCAATTTGGTTTTTATAAGCACTGGATAACCAGCATAAAAGATACTGACTTCTTGTGCTTCTGACCTGAAAGCAAAGGCATTGGACACTTTTAGTCATCTTTACTTAGGTACATGTTAATTTAAGTTAGATTATTTAAAACATTGAAAATAGATTTCCACTCCTACTCTTGAAGGCTCTTAGGGGGGTCCCAGAATCCTGGGAAATTAATTTGAAGTGTAGTTCACATTATGCAATTTACAGAGAGAATTACTGCCCAGAGAGATGAGTTGGTAGCTGAGCAAGGATTCAAACACAAATCTTCTTAATCCCCAATTCAGTGTGTTTCTCAAAAGTGCTGCCATAGTAGTCTTCCCCTTCACCTCCAAACATTTATTCACTCTACAGTTATTTAGTGAGCACTTACTGTATGTACGCACAGTGAACAAAGTGGAGAAAATCCCTCTGCAGCAGGGCTTACAACTAATTAAAATGCATGGTTTGTACCATGGTTATGTGCCATGGAAGAAAGAGAGTGAAAACAGGCAGGCGTCAGGGTGTTGCCCAGAAAACCAGTGATGAATACTGGAGACAAAAGTGGACTGAGAGCCTGGCTTCTTGTAGTTGTCGATGTAAATGCAGCATTTTGTTTTATTGTAGGTTAAAATGAATTTTTGTGGGGTGTGTGAGGATCCTGTATCCTGATATATAGCCATTGACATTATGTGTCTCAAGTTTGAATCCAAGTTTACATCCCAGCGTTTGGAATCCATCTTCTTGTGCTTGATGTTCCATCAGTGTATAATTATAATTTCATTTCCCACAGAATTCCCACTACCATGTCAATAACCTACTTACCAGCATTAATTTTGAGAAAACTCGCCAAAATTCACCATTGTAGGTGGAGTTGCGAGTGCACTGACGAGGCAGTGGAGACACAAAGCGTTTTAGTGACTTGCGCACAGTTGCAGCCTCTGTTCCTCAGAAGCTGGGGTTCACTTCCAGGTTTTGTGACTCTTTGTCATGAGCGAAAAAAAAATATATCTTTCCTTTGTCACTTTTTAGTGATATGATTACATTCATCCTTAATTTTTGATCTTAACAGTTGCTTTTATTAATCTATTCTCTCTGTGAATTGAGAATACCTGCCAGAATAAATTTTTCCAAGATAACATTTATAGGAAAAGCTTTTTTTGTGAGAAAATTTGAATAGATAAAACAAATGCAATTTAAACAATGATTATCTTTCTTTATCTTTAGAGAATTTAGATTCACATCAGAAGTTCCTATTCGACTTGACTATCATGGCAAACACGTATCAATGGATCAGGTTTGGAAACAAATTGTTCTCCACAACTACCTCATTTGTTTTTCTTATGGTCTCATTTTTTAATAATTTCGCTCTGTCATAGTTTATTGTCACAGTTTATGTTTGAAGTACTGTGTAAGATTTTTTATTTAATTTTTTAAGTAAATTATCATTTCTGAAGAACCCATGAGTAAAATTTAATATAAATTATGTAAAGGTTTTTTTCTTTTTTTTTTTTTTGGTGATACTTAGTGTTTTAGCTTCATTAGTGACTAGTGCTTTGACTTATCAATTAACTATTTTAAATGTTAAGTCTCTCAATTTGCAGATTAACCTGGCCTTTGTTAACTTTAAAGGGGACGTTAGCTGGGATTTTGATTGGTCTGGCCCAGTTGAACTGCTCTGAACTGAAGCTGAAGCGGCTCTTCTACCGGCACGGGTGAGTCGGCCACCCGCGGCCTGGGGTGAGGCGCGCCTCGCACTTCATCACACATCATGAAGCAAGTTCCCAGCAGACATGCCTGATTGATTTTACCAGATTGTTTGCCGAGAGCTCATTTTGAGAGAATCTTTACTGACTCTGGGTAATTTTTCTTCTGTGAGAGTAGAAGTAGCTTGAATAGTAGTGTTTCTCAAAAACATCTAGTTATAGTTTTAAATTTTCCAGCATTGTAAATTAGCTTTTTTAGTGATGAAAGTGGTAGTTTACAAGGTAAAGCTTCTTAGTAACTAAGACCCATATGGCAATTTATAGATACTGAGTTAACTCTGTACCAGAGCCTCAGATATTTGAGAAATAAGAACAGAGGAGATCTTAGCCTTACAGAAATTACTAGCCTACGGTTAAATTACGTATATACATTCCTGTGTGTGTATACACATATTTACATAAATACACATTACTATACATATACATGTACAACTCAGATCCAGCATTGATAATGTTTTGTCCTTGCAGTTTGTAAAGCATTTTTATGTAAAAAGAAAATCCCAAACTTACGTAAGCCTGTACATTTATTCTCCTGGCTAAACACTAACAACCATCTGCTCTAGTTTGCTAGGTGTTGACAAATTATTCTCATATGCCATCACTGAATGGCTTACTGACATTAAGAAGAACCAGCTACCAGGAATCCTGGGAGGTGTTGGGCCTATGCATTCACTAGTACAATTAGGTGAGTTTTCATTCACTCAAATAATAATTGTTGACTTGTGATTCGTAACCCCCTGTAGCTACAGAGTCCACATAAGGAATGACTTTTCAGACTTTTTAGAAAACACCCATGAGTAGACACTGCCTTCAGTGTCAGGGCCTAACCCCAGGGTAGAGTGATAGCGGAGATCAGTGCTCTGGACCCCCACTCATTTCTGCGTGTTGACCGTTCCAGTGCAAGGCCTGAAGGACCTGGTCTGGTTACCAATAGAGCAGTACCGGAAGGATGGCCGCCTTGTCCGAGGGTTTCAGAGAGGCGCTGCCTCCTTTGGCACTTCAACTGCCATGGCAGCTCTCGAACTCACAAACAGGATGGTTCAAACAATACAGGTACTGTTCTGTGGCCTACCTTAATCTGTGCAAAGAGGAGGAGCCATAATGATATAAGGAAAATACACAGATGTTGAGAAGAAATGTTTTACGTGTATATCTATGTTTAATAAGTAGTGGAATAAAGCAGTGGAATAATGTCAAGTTTACCTTTTTCAGGTTAGCTATCACCATTAAGATAGCTGAGGATTTAGTTTACGTGGGTGTAAAATAGCTACTGCTACCTCACACGTGTTAGATGCAATGCTGAACACCAGTTGACCTCCAGTTGTTCACAGACTGCATTCTCTACTGACCTAGTAACTTGGACCGTGTTCTTAGGGGACAGAGGGGGATGAGAATAAGTTGACGCAGTCCAGATATTAGTTTTTAATGTATACTTTAATATTCTTGTTGTAATTAATGCTTGTGAAAATCCAAGTGCTGCAGAAGCACCTGAGGTGGGTTACGTGAGTCTCAGTCCTTCCTCACTCCCTGGGCATGACTCTCCAGACAGACCTTGTCTAACTTGTCTCTGCTTTCTGATGAAATGATCCAGGCAGCAGCAGAGACTGCTTATGATATGGTGTCTCCTGGTACCCTTGCTATCGAGCCCAAGAAGACCAAAAGGTTTCCTCACCACCGCTTAGCGCACCAGCCAGTAGACCTGAGGGAAGGCGTGGCCAAGGCCTACAGCGTTGTCAAAGAGGTGAGTGAGGCCTGGAGTGGAGCAGCCAGACCTGTCGTGTTCTGCCTGGCTTTCACCAGAAGAGAGTCACTGATTGGAGTTTGTGATAAAGAAAGCCCTGGGAATGGATCTGGAACTCGTAGCATGTGCACATGTCTGTGAGGGGCAAGGAGAGGGCCAGGGCTGTGGCAGATAGACACGGCACCCAGGTGGGGACTGGTGGGGAGACTGGTTCTCGCTCCACACGGAAGCTTGCGGGGATAACAAAGCAAGCGCCCGTGTGCCTCCAACTAGATTTCATACCTCTCAACACTTTGCTGCGCTGACATCTCATTTGTTTAAGGAGTGTGAATTTTCAGGTGTTTGCTCACCCTGGCTCCATCCCTATACTTTCACACTCCTGAAAATGGCACATTTTTTCTGAACGTTTCTCTGCGCATATCTGCTCATAAGCCAGAGAAACTACTGCAATGCCCTGAAGCCAACCTAAATGGCATCCTGTCGTCTTGGAACCTTTTCTTTTAAGATGTATTCCTGTTGACAACATTTTTTATAGGAGTTCATTTGTATGAATAGACATCATTTATTTTCTAGTGGCTGGACATTGTTTCCGTTTTCTCCCGAAACACTGTTTTAGGAAATAGCTGTCTACATGCACCTTTGTTACCTACACGGACAAGGGAATTGTCCTAGGGGTGGGACTGGTGGGTTTGGTGGTTTGTAGCAGTTTGAATCTCAACATGTATCCGCGTGGCCCAGTCACAGTGGCATCACCCCTGTGAGCTTGCTCCTTAGGGGGGCTGTCAGGGGCCTTCCCTGTCTTAATCTTTTTGACTTTCTTTTTAATATGACACAAAACAGCTTCCGATCATTTTGCTCACAATTTATGGATTAGGAGTTAGGCTTTCCCATCCTACTCGGTCAGTAGGCAGAAGGGCTGAGGCAACCTCTCCCTTTTACGAGAGCTGTGTCAGTGGGTGGCCTATTGAGATGGCCCCGGATATGGCTGGGCAGATAAAGGAAGGGCTGTGGTCCCTTTTCTTAAAACTAGAGTGGCGACAGTAAAGAGAGCTTCAGGCAGACCTGTCCTTAGAGACGCTGGGGGCCATCTGCAGCCTTGTTAGAAACGCGCTGTACATTTGACCCTGGCCAGGGTCGGCAGTGACGGTGGCAGCCCATGGCCACGCGGTGCCTCTCAGCCTGCCCAGTGTGCACCTGTGTGAGCTGTTCACTTAGGTGTAAATTCTTTCGTGCTTACTTTGCGCCAGGTGTATGTGGCCTTTACAGCAAGGTGGTGCTGCCAGCTCACAGGTGAGAAACAGGCTCTGCAAGAGCCATCTCCCAGCGCAGGCCACGGAGCGAGGGAAGGTATTTGGGCGTCCAGCTGAGTGCACTTTCTCCAAACTGGCCCTGTGCAGACTGGAGGGAGGGCGAGAACAGTGAGTGTGGTTCTAGCTGAATCTGACTTCTGGATCTAAAGACTTCAAATAGATTTCCTAAGCGGCGATAAGTGTTTCACAGTCCTTCATAGCACAAAGAGCCGGAGAACACACCCTGTGTACTGCACCGAGGGGCACGCCCTTCAGGTCAGGAACGCCTGCGTCAGGCCTGCCGTGCCTGCGTGGATGTAGATGTGTAGCCCAGGAGGATGGCTGTCATAGGATTGTAAAGGGAGAATATATCACGGAGACTGTATAACCCACAGATGCTTACCATCTGGCCCTTCCCAGGCAAAGTTTGCTGGGCTGCTTTACATAATCCTGTGTCCTGGAGGCCAGGCAGCTGTGCTGGCGGGAGTGGTCAAGTGGGGGTCTGTCAGGGGACACACGGTGCCTGCCAGGCGGCACACAGGTTGTGTGGATGCTCTGTGTTATAAACGGTCATGCTGACCGTTACCATGCTATTCCCTGCTCAAGGGCCCTGTCCACGTACCTTTCCTGGCTGCATTGCTGCCCTGGGGAGATAGCTCTTGCTGAGCCAGAGCTGAGATTTGCATCTGAGATTTGAACCAGGCTTGGAGGTGCATTTTATCATGTGATAAGCTATTACCTATTTGCCACCTGTGAGTTAGGGAGGGAGCTGAGAAAGAAGGTAATGTGGGCAGGGTATAAACTGAGCATCTTCTTCACTGTGTTCATTTTCTCTTGTTGGCTATGTAGAGAGCTTTAAAAATAGCACTTAGATTTTCCCCCCATTTCTGCTGGGCTTTTTCTCTTTTAACTCCCTGTGCCTTTCTGACTTGCTTGTTTGGCTGGGTCAAGATGACATTGTTGGTATCATATCAGAGTGTCGGCTAACTGCTGGGTTTGGATAAGGTTCCTCAGTTTTCCTGGAGTGCATAAGGGACCCTTTTCCTTCCCTGAATACAGCCTCATGTCCCCTCTGGCGTTTCTGAGTTACTGCCTGGTAAAGATTCAAGAGTCATATGAAGTGTGACCCTCACGTTAATAAGCTTGGCTTTCAGTCTTAGCAGTTGCACTTCTCAATATTATGCAGTCAGTAAGAACCATGAAAATATTACCCAACATGCTTCATTTCTAATTATGAAACTTGTTCCTGTTTTATGCTCTCAGAATTTTAATTCAATAACTTGTTCTATTTATTCTGTTATCTTAATTGAATATTCTACAATTATCTTTCTAGAGCATGGCCAGTAACTTAAAATAAATTAATGATTTTCTGAAGCTAAGTAGAATTAGTTTTTCTTGTTATCATTGAATCAGAGGAGCTCTCGCCATTTTCCTTTAGTGATATTATTTATTCAGGAAGCTTTGCCACGTTTGATTTAATTACAGTGATTAATAGCACTGGAAAAGCTACTCTTGGATCATTAAAGATTCTGTAAGTTTCTGTATGTGAATTATATTTTGACTAAAATTTCTACACACAAGTGTTATAACAGATTGCTAAATCTTAATTGACTTACTTTCTCTTATCATTAGACTGTTGTCATAAAAATATCCTGTTATCTCAAAACTAGTTACACCATCATGTTGATTAACGATGAACGTGTGTGTTACAGGGCACTTTAACGGGTCGCTCTGACCGTGGTGCCCCCCGCCTGCCCCGTTTCAGGGAATCACGGACACGGCGCAGACCATCTATGAGACCGCTGCCCGCGAGCATGAGAGCAGAGGCGTCACGGGCGCCGTGGGTGAGGTCTTGCGCCAGATTCCCCCGGCGGTGGTGAAGCCTCTGATTGTGGCCACAGAAGCAACATCAAATGTTTTGGGGGGCATGAGAAACCAAATTCGACCAGACGTCCGGCAAGACGAGTCGCAGAAGTGGCGCCACGGGGAAGACTGAGCTGCAGACGGGCTTCTCTAGACGCGGCCAGCCGAGCGGGCGCCGCCGGCGGGCAGGGCCCCGCCTTTAGCTTTACTGTGCCCATCTCAGGAACAGCGGCGCTTCTTAGTCAGTGATTTCCTATCAGAACAACATGCAGCCAAACACTCCTGCCATTTAGGCTAGTTTGTTCTTGCCTGTGGAAATGTTTGGTGTCAAAGTCCTTAAAGCATCTGCTGCCAAGTTAGCAGGACGCTTGCTTTCTGTACATGGCCGTCATTCTTGTTACAGGTGAGATGGTGTGCAGCCTCCTCTCACAGCGCGCAGGGATCAGACACACTTGAGCTTGTGAAAACATTGTGGCTCTGAGGAGCTGATTGTTCTTAAGGTCTAAACAGAATCACAGCTTTGAAAGTGTCGCTGAGCACGAGCGACAGAAGGCATAGGAAGGTGAAGCAAATAGCTGCTGGATAGACGCCCGTCTGTTGGGCCTTGTGGTGCCCGCCAGCGACGCCGGCCGCCCTGGGCGCTGCCCTCAGTGGGGATGGCGGCGTCAGCCAGGCTCTGTTGTATTGCACTTTATCCTCTGTGTGTGCAGACAAATGCAAGTCACGTGCTGTTTATGTAATTGACAAAGTCTCACAAAATATAAAAATGTAAGTCTGAAAGTTTCTGGCAAAGGAAAGTGGCTCCAATGTAATAGCTTCCATTTACTCTAAGTGTAGATGAAAGTGTGCATCTGTAAGGAGCTGGGGCCCATCTGATTGTTTCTGTGTTCAAATTTGAGCAGGTGCCATGCACACTTGCTTGGAACGTGTGGAAAGGGAGACTGGGAGTGGTTTCTACTCTTAAAATTAACCAAAATCCTGCAGATATGCCCTCGTCATCTATTTCAAAGTACCATTTTTACTTGGTTAACAATGTACATTTTGATAACCTGTCAGGAATGAATAAAGTATTTTTATTTAAAGGTAATGTTTATGCTTCCCCGAGTATTTTGCTTTTCTTAGCGTGCATATGTAGATGCAATACCGTGATCTACCCCAGGGCGCTGGGGAGCACATCCTCCGCCTTTACTGCTAGTGTCGAGCGAGTCATTGCCCAGGGGTGAGAGGGGCCTGCGCCCAGGTGCACGGTCGCCAGCTCCGTCTGGAGAAAGCATGGGGTCGCGCTCACCCCCCACCCCCCTTGTGAGTCGTGCCCGCTCGCTTCCTGAGTCGGGCAGAATCGAGGAGGTGGCTCTGGATTTCAGATCTGCCCCTCAGTTTGGGGTTTGGAAAGTGCTGGAAATTTAGAGATTTTAGTCTCAAAGCTTGCTCAACAAAGCAGCCTGCTTCTCAGGAACACGCCCTCCTCCCTGCTCACCAATTCCAGTATTCTCTGCTTTCCTATAAAGAATGGGGCATGCTGTGTACATTCTCTGTAATGGTGACTCAGGATGAAAGTGTTTGAGCAAGAAAAGTTTTAAGTTTGTTTAATGTTTAAATACCTTCCATAATTACATTTGGAAAAGTATCTTTAAACTTTGGTATTGCCGTGACCGTAAAACAAAGAAAAAAGGTGCTGGGCAGGACCCCCGTTCGCGCCTGCAGCCCTGCCGGCCAATGACTCGGTAGAGACGTTTCATCTGTCCACTCTGCTGTGTTCCTCTATAAAGAAAGCCTGTTTTAGGCCAGAGCCCACCAGAGCCTTGGGCGTTTGCGGGTACTTGAGAGTGAGAAAGTGTGTGAATAATGTGTGGGGTGTGACTGAGTGAGGTGCCCCAAGCTTGGGCCCTGGGGGTGGTAGTGGTGACTGGAGCAGACTTCTTGCGCCTGCGCCTCGCTGGCCCCTGAGCTGGACCCCAGGAGCCAGGTAAGAGGCTGGATCCAGATCTGTCCCGAGTTTGCGAACCCCCCCAGTGCTCGGAGCATGTTGGTCTGTGCAACCACCCTGGCAAGGCGCCCAGGCCACGGTGGTGACCTCTCCTGAGTGGGGCTTATTGCATCCCCACTTTCCCTTCCTGTCTGCCCCCACCTGCTGCTGTTTGCAAGCAGAGCACGCCGCCACAATTTGCCTTTGGGGTAGATGGACACAGACGTGCCCTTATATCACAGCAGTGGGTGTGGGTGGTCAGTAGTTTGGGTGCAGCTGGGATTCCCATTGAAGCATATATCTTTAACATATTTTTATAATGCAGAACTCACTTTAAGGAAAAACAGCTTCCCCAGTAGCACTTCAGTCATCTCCTAAACGCCTAAAATGGCAAAAATACAAAGCCAGTGCTTCCAGCCTCCCACCTGCTGTCACTGAGAAATGCCGTTGGAATTCGAGCAGCATTTCATCGCATTGCTTTCTCAGTTTCCTTTGAAACTGTTCTGTAGACTTGATAACTGATGGTCTCAAAACCACCCAAACTGCTTCTGGGCCAGGCGCGTTCCACGTGCGGCCCGGCTGGGTGGCGCCTCATGTGGCCTCCGCCAGGGCTGCAGGTGGCAGGCAGGGCCCAGACAAGCCCTTAAAAGGAGACTTCCGCACGCGCGTTGAATGCTTCAAGGCTTACCGTTGTCTTAACATTTCGCCTGTGCACTAAGCTGCGTGGGCTGAGACATCATTCAGCGTTGCTTCCGTTGCCTATACCCACTGAGCATTCAGGGAGCGTTCAGGGGGGGCGGCTGTATGCTGCGCCCCTCACGTTCTCTTGACCTGCGTGGACCAGTAGAGAGGGTGTCAAGTTCAAATTCCTTGAAAGTTAGGAACTGTTCAAACACAAGTGATGCTCTTGTACGTGCAAGTGCATCAACTGGACATGCCACCTGGTGTCAAAGCAGGTTAAATGTAAACTCGTGAGTCTGAGATTGAAAGGAGACTACAGAGCATACAGGTAATGAGGGAGAAAAGACTTTTTTTCTTCATTACCGATAAATCGTAATTCTGTTTACTGGAAATTACAGTCTTTTCATATAGGAATAATTGAGCACTTTAACGCCAATTTGTTTTTATCTCACTACTTTTGGGATCATCTAGTCACATGGCTCCTTTTCATAGACTTTATATGCACAGTTCACGTCAACGGTTTTAACCAGGAATACTGTCACGGTGTGTCCGCCTGTCGGGGACCCACACGTGACGGCCTCTGTGGGATACGCGCTGTGGCTTTCGGCTGTTTGTGTTCTTCAGTGTCCGCAGTTTTGAAGCCGTGTATTGGAGTGGCATGCTGGCCTCCTGTGGCGCCTGTCAGCCCCGGCTCAGCACGTTGCCTGGGGAACCCCAGCGCCCTGCGTTTCGGGAGCGGGAATGTGCTGGCCTGGCGCCCTGGCACCTCCGCCCTGGGGTGGGGTGAGCAGCCCCCCATGTTTCTCTTTGCGCCCCAGTGGACTGGTGTAGGGTGGCTTCTAGTTCTGGGCGTCCGTCTCGTCTCCTGTGTGTGACTAGTTTGTCACGCGGGCGTGTGCTCCCATGGCTCCGTGCGGGCACCTGCTTGCCCTCACACTAACGCACCCCCCCACCCCCAATAGGAGAAACCTGCCTGTGTATGCCGCTGTCACTGCTGTCCCCGAATGTTCCTAAAGCACTTATGGATGTCAACACTTAACATTGACTCTGTACCCTTGTTTTTGTGGAAATGTAACTTGTCACATGTGACTTTAAAACGTGAAATTAAGAATATTCTTGAAGAACATTAAAATATTTGCTCTTTGGAGTTTGCTTTCAACACCATGTCTTTCGCCGAGCACTGTTCCCCAAACCTGCTTTTGGGGGTCGGGTGAGGTGTCGGTTCCTGTGATTTGAAAGTGATATCCCTACAGTCTGGACCTTCTGACGGCAAGTCTCTTCTCTCCCGGTCCCCAGGCTGAGCTGGCGGGCACGGATGGGCGCCACCCGGCCCTTCTGGAGTACACCAGTTAGGGACCCTGCCCCTCAGCTTTGGGGCAAGTACAGCTTGTGGCTTTGGCCTTGGGGTCCTAGACTACCTGGTAAACCCCCTCTGCTTGAAGGAATATTTTTACTTATGATAGGAATATTTTAATATTTTTTCTTTTCTTTTTAAAGCTTTATTTATGCATACATAACTGGGGTACAGGTCAGAGGTGCAGGGGGCAGTGAAAGGATTCACCGGAGACAGAGCAGGGAGCAGAACAGGACGACTGACGAAGTACATTGCTGAGGTCTGCCGCGCCCTGTGGGTCAGCTCTGGGGCTGGGATTGAACTCGCACTGAGGCGGCTGAGGCCAGCTTGCAGTGCTGTGTCCTAACCCTAACCTCAGATGGATCCTGACCATCTGAGCCCAGACGCCACCAGGGGAAGCCCCTAAATATTTATTTTTAAAGATAATAAAAGAGACCTGACAGGTGCCACTGGAGAGCCATCCAGTTGGGCAACCAAGGAAAGTCAAGTTCCACTTGGCTCGTGGCTCTGAGGAAGGAGGAAGGGCCGTGCGCCCCTGCTCCCAGAGAGGCGTCATGAGAGCCCCTGTTTTCTGAAAAGTCAAGTTGTTCTCTCAGGCCATGGTTTACCCCAGATTCCGTGCCTACTCTCAGACTCAACAGGAACTTAAACGGCTGTCTGAATTAGTGAAAGCCCTTTATTAGGAAGCCAGGGAAGGCTCCGGGCGACGGTGGCTCTGCCCTCTCACCACAGGCCTCTGCCGTCTCTGCCAGCAGCGGCCAGCCACGGGGACTTTATTTTTTTAATCCTTAAGCTCGGTCTGCTTGCTCCAATTATTTGTTTTTATTTAAAAACCTGGGCCTGGGGCCACCCCAGGGCCTCCCCACCGCCACGGGCTGGGCAAGTTTTGTTGTGTTCTGTGTGTCACAAGGAGGGGCGAGCATCCTTAGGCACTCAAGCATAATCTCCCCTGTCTTAGTGCCATCACCTTCACCACCTTCATTCTGCAGAGGAGCTGAGCAGGGTAAGTGCTGAAGTGCTCTAGTTTAGTCCTGGCTGACAGGTGACCACCCAAATCCTGGCAACCTAACAAAGAGTTTCTCACAGCCAAGATGGGCTCCTGACCTCCCTGTCCCCACTCTCTTGGGACTGGGGAATCATCTCCCGTGGGAGAGGACAGCTCTCTGCACAGCACTGTACCCTCAGAGGCTCCTGGGTGTGCCCTGGAGGCGGGAGATGGGGATGGCCAGCATCTGCCTGGCCACTTTTAGCCAGCCAGTTCAGAATTTGGATCCTGACCATCTGAGCCCAGACCCACACTTTCAGGGCACCCTCCACCGCAGTTACAAAGAGGTGATCCACAGGTCATCCGCACTGCCAGAAGTAGGATTTGTTCTTATTTTTTTTCCAAAATTTATTTTTATTTACTTATACATATAAGAACTGGGGTGTAGGCCGGAGTCGCAGGATAGGGAGTGAGAGGATTCACCAGAGACAGAGTGGGCAGCAGAACACGCAGATCCATTGAAACACACTGCTGTAGGGAGACAGGCGAGGTCTGCTGCACCCTGCTTTCTGGCCGGGTCAGCTTTCTGGCCACAGTGGCTGCAGATAGCTTCATAGTGCTGAGACTTTAACACCTGCCCCACCAGGGAGGCACTGGATTTGTTTTTCTTCTGAAAATGTTTGTTTTCCTGAAGTACAGCAAGGAGCAAATTTAAGCGAAAAACATTTTCAGGGTAATGAAGCAGGGTAGTGTCAATATGATGTCGTGGTCCTCAAAGCTTGCGTACCTATTGGAATCACAGAGCATCTTTCAAAAATCCCAAACCCAGGCCACACCCAGGACTGATGAAAACACAGTTCCCGGGGGTGTATCTTTGAAGCTCCCTGGTGACTCTAAAGTGCAGACAAGTTTGGGAATCACGGGCACAGGCAGTGGCTAAGAAGGACTTTAGTGGGGTTGCCAGGGCTGACCCCAGATGCCACAGCAAAGTTAAAAGCTGTGTGACTTGGGAAAGTTGCTTAACCTCTCTATGCTTGATCGCCCCTCCATAAAATGGAGATACTAAGACGATTGTTACAGAATGTTCTACATGTGTGATGGACAATCATGCCCACGGCTTGGAACAGCTCTCAGATGGGCAGCGTGTCAGAGCTAGGTGTGGTGGCCACTTTTCCCTGAACGCCCGCGGAGGAAGGGCCTGTGGCCATCTCTGGCAGTCGGTACCCAGTGATGATGGAGACACACTAGACAGCTGGCCACAGCAGCCATGTGTGCCTCATAAATGTCAACCGATTTGCGTTGCTTCTGAGAAATGAAGTGGGTTTCACGAAGCCGGGGAAAGGAGCAGAATCCCTGGCCTTGAAATCACCACTTTGTCTCCATGGCCCTCGGGTAGCTGCTTCCCTGGCCTAAACCCCAAGTGGGCGCTCCCTTTGACAGGGAAACGGCTCAAGGCGCATCTTAGCACATTTGGGAATGAAAGTCAGGGAGGGTGCTGGAGACAGTGCCTTCTGCATTTAGAGGCAGCAGAGCTGCGCATGCCTCTAGTAAGACCCTCTAAGGCAATCAGAAGAGGGTAAAACGGTCTTTAGCTCAGCTTCTACCAAGACAGCAAGGAAAACATGACTGCTGGGTGTGAAGTACTAGCTGTTTCCAAAACCCTTCTATGGACAGTGTGTCAGCTGAGATGGAGCCCATTACTTTCGGAGTGTTGGAGACTTCAAGGCTCTCTCTCCAAGGGATGTTTAACATTTCATAGAAGTTCAGCAAGGTGTTTTATCGGGCTGCGTATCGAGAGTGCCCTTCTGCAAAGAGACGGTTTCTCTCACCACCCTAGCCAAACACGATGTGAGGGCATCCACATCACCAGGACGTAGCTTACGATTTCACTGGCAGCTATTGAGAGTAATGAACCTCTTGGCACAGTTCCAGAGACTGGCCACACTCTGGCCGAGCTCCTGGAACTTGACCCTCTGCAGGGGAGACTGCCTCTTGGGACATGGTCTCCAGGCGCTCGCCAAACCATTGGGGTTTGAAGGAAGCTCCACCCTAACATCCCCCTTGAGCAGGCACCCCAGTGCTGCCCTGCAGGTCTCCTCTGCATCTGCTGCAGAGTCCTCCAGGATGTGAGACCCACTTAAAAATGAGGGCGGTACCCACTCACATACAGGGACGTCAGCCAGGTCAATCATTCAAAAAAAAAAAAATCTTCTGCAGACATCTTTGAACAACCCCGTTAAGAGAAATCGCTGCCTTTTGCCATTTGCATGCCTGCGCCCGCCGTGCACAGGAGCTGCAACCCGCTTGGGCGGAAACGTTTGGTGAGACGCGCCGCGCCGTCGGCGCCAGCAGGGGGCGCCCGCCCCTCCCGGGAGGCACAGGTTTAGAAACAGCCCCCTGCAGAGCGGACGGCCCCGCGGAGCCTGCCCACACTGCAGGGGAGTTTGGAAAATTCCCAAGTGCCCTGCCCCTTCCCCAGGCTTGGCTGTGCCAGCTTCCTCTTGGTGGAGGACGCTGCTTACATTTAAAATTAAAATGTTTGATGGCACGATTAATTTTTCCTGCAACTGGGCCGTTTGGTGACACATCGGATCCCTTGCTCAATCCCGGAGCCTTGGGAAAGCTGCCTCTGGAGACGTTTCCGCAGCTCCAAATATCGATACGGGAATATTTGGAGCGTGAGATCAGAGACATGTGCTCAACATTCAGATAAAGATCTTTTGTTGTTCCCCTGCGGTGGTGTGTAAAAGTGAGTCTGGCCTCTGCGGGAGTCCTTCCTCCTCCAGAAAGCGCAGCCCCCAGCTCCCTTCTCCAGGCACTGGGGCTGGGATGGGGCGAGGCCCATCAGCACACTCGGGGCGCAGAATTTGAGGAGGGTGCAGGGCACACCTGCAATCAAGATAAACCACAGTTTAAGACGATGCACATCGCAAAGCAAAGCACTTGGGACAGGGTCGGGTTTGGCACCGCCCCTCCCCCACCTTTGGCTCAAACCCCTCCACCCCCCTCACCCCCCAAGTTCTGCGGGTCCTGTCTTTACTTACGGGCTATTTTGTTCAATAGGGATGAACCTCATTCCTGCTTGGCTCACTCCCCCCACACACACACTTAGCTTCCCCTCCCCCATCGCAAGGTTATCTGTGCAGCGATGAAGGGAGAGTAATGTTGGGGGCCCCATACGCCTTGGCTGGCTGGGTTGCGCCACATCAAAGCTGAGGTTCCCGCAATGAGGAGTCCAGCAGAGGCCAATTTCTCAGAAATGATGTTTAGGATGTAGCCTCGGTTTACAACACTGTGACTTAGGGTACAGATTCACACCGCTAGGGACGGGGTTACCGCAGGCCCCTGCCAAAGCCCCCCAGCCCTCCCAGACAGTGACCCTCCCCCTCCGGCTCAGGTAGCCACTGCTGTGTGGTCACGTCTCAGGGGCTTGTTCGCCTTGCGTTAGTCTGTTCCTTTGCTTTATGTACACGCCCGCATGTAGCCGAAATCATCTGGTGTTTGTCCTCTCCTGACTCCCCCAGAGCGTGGGTTTGGCCAGTGTGGATGGTGCATGCACCTCTCGGGAGCCGGCTCGGAGGCCAGGCTGGTGGTCTGGTGGTGGCTGTAAGTGTTCTCCACTCTGCAGGCAGAAATGGGGCGCCGAGCCCCCCTCCCCTCCCCTTTGTGAAGGTCAACAGTTCAAAGGCTGAAGTGCCACCACCTAGAACCTCCCCCCACCCCCCACCAGCCTCCCAGAAGGCTGTTTTTGAGTAGCTGGATTCCAGCAGCTAAAAT